AAACTACCTTTAATGTATTTCTGAATAAGTTCACATATGATTCTCTCAACAGAGGCAATATTTTATATCATGTATGACTAGGAGTGTAACATATGTTTTCTCATCGATGTAGATAGATTTTTGCCTGTTCACTTATAAAAATGGTATACACAAAATGTGTGGCGATTTGATATTGGACACATTTGGACTTTTTCGTAAACTGGCCTCACTGCGGTTATCTAAAGGATGTTGTCTTAACACAACGAGTCTTCCAGATGAGGCCTTGGAGCTTCTAACCCTAATTACGTAGTTATCGAGAGACGATAACTACATAAAGGAATGGATTTGTCTGAAAGTCGAAACTTAAAACGCAAATAGAAATAAGCCTTGTAGTTATTGGGAAGAAACGGAAACCTGATTGAATGCTGTAAATGAGACTTTAAGAGGATGTAAAATGGTCCCTAGTTTGATTATTTGGAATCTCCAGTAGATGGAATCTCCCATCAGAAATATTTTCCCGGATAGGATTTTAGGAGTTCATATTACTAATGTCAGAGTGCTGGAGGCGAAAACCAATGCAAGGTTACCTTCAGGCAAGTTCTTGTGAATAACGAGGAAGGGGGTGTGATATTAAATAAAGGACACAAAACTAGTGCTTCAAATGTTCCATATCGACCTGACGAGTGACTGACATACCGAACTAAATAGAAGAATGCTGTTACTGAGTTAAAAACTCGGAAGCAAAATAACGGAACAAACTTTGGTATCCAAGGTTTTTGGGTGATCATGTTTGGAAATCAACTTTGTCGAAACCTGTTTCTGTGGAACACCCGATGTATTAGCCATGCAGACGCTCATTTTTGATGATAAGACGTCTGGGCCACGTTAAATGATGGACGAATGAAGTTCAGAACTAATCATTTTCATGGAAATTTCTTACGATATAGATGCTAACATTTTACCAATCATAGCCAGATGCATCTGTAATAAAAATGATAGGGTCATAAGTCACAAGAGAGGCTTAATTTTTTTGTGATAGTTCACTTCAGTGTGGAATCGAACACCCCAGATGCGTATGACAGTGGTACATGTGAGGTTGCTTGTTGTATAATAAAAAGTAAACATGGGTTAATGACCGAATTTGGAACACACCGCAGTTCTAGTTGTCTGGCTGACGAACTATGAACTCCTTAGCAACATGGATTCCTAGTTGATGCTTATCTAACTTAGTAACCGAGAGGATTGGACAACAGCTCGAGATAATGGCTTATCTATCAAGGGTTTCAAAAAGTTCATTTGATATAGTTTCTCATTTAATGTTTTCACTGAAGCTCTTGAGCTATAGAATGACAGTTGCAGTGCAAAGTGGGATCGAAAGGGAAGGGGAAGAAGGACTTTGTTTTGAAGAGTTATAAAGAACCATTTCATATCGTTTAGTGCAGTAAAACATGACCTTATTGTATACAGCTCAACAAGCGACCGCAAAATTAATTATCATAAATCAATATTATTTTAAGTCAAATGCATATGGGTGAGGGACATAGGAGGTATTAGTAAGATTCGTGAGTAGAAGCTAGATCTAAACATGGCCAAAGAGCATGGAAATAACATCACTTTTCGTCAGAAAACTATGGAGCGATCTTCAGATTATCCTTAGTTTCGTACTGATTAAGCACCAGGGATCACGCGTAGGCTGACAGCTTTCCAAAAATAGACGGAATACTTGCTTGCAGATGTCAATGGATTGTTTTTAGGCTATGTAAAGTTGATAATGGACGTATGTTTTGCTCTAACTCATTATCGTGGTTGACTAAGCAAATCTGAGAACTTCGAAAATGAGTGACGGGTTCCTGTTTGACAGTTTATTGTCTACCATTAAAACTAAGAAGACTGAACTCCCAAAAACATTCCAAATAGAAAGTGTTTGCATTAACTATTGTTGTATGAAAGTATCTTCATCAATCTGGGGTCGGACAGAAATTTATAAACACCGAAGATTAATACCGTAGTTCATGTGCGGAGGTTGTAAACGATGTTAAAACTAGTCTATCTAATTAAATACAACATCAGAATGGAAGGTTCTCAAAGTAATTATGCAATTATTTCACGATGAAATAGGATCATCATTAGTCCCATGCATCAAATGAAAAGTAGTCACCAAAAACGCATAATTAAAATAGGCCTAAACTAATGACTCCAGGGTCTAACCAGTTCTTAGATAACGCGACTACAGTCACTAAAAGGAGCAATTTTTTTTAAAGTCCATAGTATTACAAGTCTTGTTGGATCGTATGTGGAATACAGTGACCATTAATGAAAAAGCAACTTACAAATTGGCCATTACGTACAGATTCATAGTCTCCTCAAGTTTTCATAGGCAGCATACTAGATTCAGAATAGTCTATCCCATTATTTTTATTGGGGTTAAATAACTAGAGTAGAAAGTAGCGGCTAAAGGTTAGGGCCCTTACCATAAATCGATATGAAACATATTCATAATCTGCTCGGTGACCATATGGATTATGGATCTTTTGCATAAATGCCTTCCATAATTTCTGTTCAGTTAGTTAGTTTACGAAGTATGCTACAACTGAATTAGGGATGGTTTAGTATCAAGTGGACTGACTAGTATAATCGAACTTACATATCTCATCTCACTAAAACCTGAAATGGAAATTTCATCACTCACAGATTGTAAAATTTTCTTCAGTTGCTTTCCGATGTTCAGATAATCTGTATATCCAGCATTTCTGATAGTTCACCATTCTCTCAAAGGTGCTACATATCGGATCAAAATTGACACAGACTTAATTTCCTGCTATATGAAGTTATCTTTCATTACCTGATATGGGTGGTTCGGAGCAGCTCAGTTTACGTAAGGAATAATAAGTGTGACATTATCTAGTAGATGAAAGAAAAACAATCTCTTGTGAAAAGTAATCTTCACTGCGATACACGCATACATTTAGTATTTGGAGAAACAGGTTAGTATGTTGCTTGTCATTAAAAAATGTAACAATGTTTTCCAAACCTTACTTTGTGAAGCAGTTAAAAAATACTACACCAACATTTGATCTCTGTTATCAAGTTGTTGTAATCTTACGTTGGTATTTTCCTATTTTTGGATGAATAGGTGATCTATGTGCTAACTGAATGATAAGATATTTATTGTTCTCGGAAGTAGTTTACCCCACACGCCTCACGCTAAGCGTTATCCAGTGGAGGTTTTTCATCTCAATAGGGACTCACTTCATGTCAAGTGCAGGGGATCTGATAGAGTCCCACATCATACTTAAGGTCTAGTATGTACTTTCTTTTCATTTTAGGTTTATTGTATAGTACTCCTTTTCTCTTTATCTATTACTTCATTGATAATTAACGATAAAACACTATGGTAGACATAAAGCAAAGGAAAAACTCGTCAGCCTAATATCGCTAACAAGAAGAAATGTTCATCTTGGATCCAACTGCTAGCCACATTCTATCTTTTCTATATTTTTCTGTTCATTTAGGGATCACATAATTGCTTTTAGTACTGGCTGCAATTAAGGCCATAAAGCTGCATTAACAGATGAATTTTTACGTTGGCTGCGTCGCATCATGTGCCTGAACCTTACTTGTACAATGCTTGATTAGTTAGTGGTAGTTTGAAGAAGTTTGCCACAGTGGTTTATGAGTAAGTTTGGTGTTCCCTAAGACATTGCAAACGTTTCTCAGATACATATTGTTTAGTTAGTTCTCTGGTGCATGAATATTAAACCAAATCATCTCTTGGTGTTAGGAATATATAGCCAAATATACTACATTTAGCCATAGCTATTGCTAGCTCATATTAATGGGTGAGTGACAAGACTGGACATATAGGTTCGTTAAGTGATTAGGTGTGCTGATCACTACAAAATGCTAAGATTTGCTCATAAGCGTGAGCGATTCCAGACAAATACAGTCCATTACTTTTAGACGATACTATCTGCTTAGGTTACTTGATCATAAAGTTTGACGTGATCAAGACACTCCTTAAACTCATGACCATCTGTTTATCTTACGAATAGCTTCGTAATCTTATATGAGCAGTCTAATGCTTATCAGCCGGAGACATCTCTGAGAATTGTGTAAGCTTATGAGGGCACCAGCAAAAAAGTTTTTACTTGATTTAAAAATTCAGTAGCTGGAAATCACAAATTGCATTATTAATTGCAACATACGATTACTCGAAACGATGGCTACTGAAAGGCTTGCTGACAACACTGATAGCTTTTTGTAACTGAAACGAGCACAAACAAAGTAGACAGGGAATTAAGTGAACAGGGAAACCTTTCAAACATTAGCTATGTATTTAATTGTGGAAACGGATGATAAAAGCTACAATAAAATAATACGACATTTTGGAAAATGAATTTTCGAAACAATGAATACACTTCTTTATAATGAGGACATTAAAACTGGAGTATTATCAAGTCACCATATTGTTTTATAGTGATAAGCAATTTGGAATTTAGTTCAGCTGGTATGAATTAACACGAATAGAAAAGAAGAAGAAAAAGAAGCATTTTTTGGTCATTTCTACCAACAACTTCGACGAAAATGAAAACCAAACGTAGTTGAGGCGGGGCTGAATGTGGAATTCAGATGGGCTTACAGAGAAGCCTCAAATGACACATATACCACAACTGTTGCACAGATCTGATTGTCCGCCAAGACTGATGGCCGAAACCTGCGATACACACTGACATTAATGCTACATTAGTAAATAAGTAGATTTCCTCAGATCACTAACTTAATATATCTCGCATATTATCGTTTTTTCCTCTCCTCTACTTACACTTAGATCCACTTGAACAATTTTCAATAACAATTAACTAACTAAATCATCTATTACTTTACTTACTTCTGAAATATTATTAGCAAGGAATTTTCTCCTCATAATTCTCAACTTTGCAACTAATTGATCTTCGGTCTGGTAATTTGACAGCTGATACCCTACTGCACTGAAACAAACGTTTTCATACAAATCAAGGGACAAACAAACAGCCAACTGCCAAATGACTAGAATTAGACACTCGAGTGTCTAGACCCTCGTTCATTGGACACTATCAAACAACTTGGAACTGTACCGAGAGAACAAAAATAGATCGCAAACAAAGCGATTGGTTTGTACTAGCTAGTGAAAAATATATCGGATATAATGGATATTGGACATTGAAGGCACCATTTTGAAGTTAAATGGTTTGTTTCTTAGTCCCATCATCAATTTATTTTGTATTATAATTCGTTGTTGCTGTATGGACGTACTTATTTTAAATATCGGTATTTCAGTGATTAAACATTGTTTTTATCGAAGGATTTGAGTATTTATTTTGACCGGTCATCCTGGTTTTCACTCAATTCCTTTCCGTTTGTGAATAGACATTTTAGCATGTCGTGCCGGGTGAGATATCTTCTGTTGATTACAATATTTTTGCCTGATCTTCCTGGATAACAAATATTAAACACAAAACCAATTAAGTTTATCTCTGTGTTATGAAGAGACCTTAGTAAGTGTTTACTGGTGACCTCGGAATATTTTTCGAAACATAATATAGTCAAGTTGGTCCTAATAATTGCTTTTTAAAGGTGGTCACTTATCGTTTTTCTTGGATTCCTATTTATTCGCGGCCTTAGTAGTATTAATATTTCCATTTTATTCCCTTTTGATGGTATTTCGTATTATTGCGTACATCCACGTTCTTTCATCTTCAGTCAGTCAGTTACAAAGTAAAACTTCGTACTTAGGTACATCAGTTCAAGTTGCCATACTTTGTGTAGTATGCTTGTGTTATCGTCTCTCTCTATCGTTACTGGGGACACGACGCAGTATGGGTAGTGTTTAACTTCTGAGGTCAGCAGTTCTAGATTATACACTTTCCATACAAAAGCGTCGTGCATATGTACATTTACCATCTAACCACAATCCACTGAGTTTTGATATTATGTAACGTCATATATAGGCAAATATCCTAAAATTTATCCTCCAAAATAAAACAAGCAGTAACAGATTTTTGATAGAAGTGAACCGAAAATCCATAGATCACCCTAGTTTAGACAAGGGGAATTGTAAAACCTATAGGTGTGTCTTCCCAACTAATCCTACTAATTGTCTGATATCGTCTCTAATTCTTGCTTCACAACTTACATCTGTAATGTGTTTCTTCAACTGTTGTTTAATCCATAATAATAATAATAATAATAATAATAATAATAATAATAATAATAGACCAGGTGCCTCAATTGTCCTATATATTTTATCACTTAACTTCAATAAGTTTGTTAGTGTTTTCATTAGCGTACTACAGCTAAGTTTGAGTGAAAGTTTGGTGACAGTTAATTACTCTTCATTCGATAATATTAACTTTGCATTGTCCACTCACTTCGGTTCCTGTTCCTGAAGTAAATAAAAATATATGCTTCAGACTACTCTGTTATGTAATCCTAACTATCTTGAATTGTTACTGTCATGATTACTATATTGTTCCCAGTCACCTTGTGTATAGTATTTAGTCTTTCGACTGATTGACTCGAATACTTAACTCATGCAATTTGTGTATAACCTCCTAATCTATTGGGAGCTAAAGCCATAACCGCCCAACACTAGCTGCTACCTTGACGTGGTAGACGGGCTAGCCCATCGTGATGACCCAACCGAGCTAGATTGTCTGGAACATGTGTTCCTGAAGGTTCTACCATGCCAGGCAGGTCGAGTGGAGAACGATGAGACTAAAAGCAGCTACTCAAGGTCTGAGGGCGAAGTCGTACTCCTGACTGTACAGGGGTGTGACAGAAGTAAGTTGTTTCCCTCAGACAACCAGCGTCTGCAGCGATGCTGCCTTCTCACGAGGAAGGGAGGATTAGAAAATGTCAACCATAAAAATGTCGCACCTCACCCTACCTCACGGATTTCAGTCTCCTGCGGTAAGAGTGCCCACTAAGGGCTTTCAAGAGCGGAGCTAATACTCAAAAAACCTTTCATAAGAAGGCCGTTCGTGACCGGCCTCAAGCAGTTGTCCGTTGGGCTGTGTGGTCACGCTACCAGGTCGTTAAGACCAACACTAATCTACATTCCTTTTAAGGGCCCTCAAGAAGCACCCTTCCACGGTGTGGGCAGCCGGCATGTGACATCCGCCCTTATACCTGTAACAGCACACGAGACCAAATTGGTCACAAACAAAGCCTTCGTACATCTCCTGAAATCCCCCTTATCTTCACGACTAACTCTTCTCATATTCCTTTATCACGCCGCACCGCTAATGCAAACGGTTTGAGTTCACGAAACGTTATTCCTAATCTACTGAAACCCCGTTCTAATCTACATGTTGGTGCTTTTAGTGTACGGACATTGTAAAATAGGGCAGCAGGCTGCCTTAGCTAGGACTTTAGAATCTCGCGCCGTCGATTTGTACTGCGTCTCGGCAACGCGCATACAGGATCCGAGTAACGTCATTCACTCGACCTCTCCATGTCAAGATAAAGAAGCTACTCGATTCACTCTTCATGTATCTGGAAGCCCTGATGCTGCTTCCCGGAGTCTCGCTGACGTAGGTATTACATTGAGTCCTAAAGCAGAACTAGCTCTCCTAGACTGGATCCCTGTAGATAGTCGCTTGTACGCTGTCCGAATGAACGGGAGAGTAAGGACTCGGAAAGATAGGGACACTCGTCGTTGCCTCTTCGTCATATCTGCCTACGCTCCCACTGACTGCAGTTCAGACGAGGTGAAAGATGAGTTTTACAGAAAGCTTTCGGACCTCCTTAAAATGTTAGGCACTCTGATTTAGTGATGACGGCTGGTGACTTCAATGTTCAAGTAGGTAGACTGAGTGAAAAGGAAAGACACCTGGGTGGATCTTATGGTCTCGCGGCCCAAAGAACTGGTAATGGTGACCGTATGCTGCAACTGTGCTCAGATAACCGTCTATTTCCAGCATACACTAACTTTGGGCATAAGGAAAAACATCTTTTGACCCGGAGACCCCCAAAGGTCTCTCGACGCTAGACCCAACTAGATCACATCTCTATCAGCCACCGATGGAGGGGTTTGATAGAGGACTGTCGCTCGTTCTGGGGCATATGTTTAGATTCAGATCATGCCCTAGTGCGAGCGCGTATTTGTTTGCGACTTACCGGACGTAGGAATGACAACACAAAAAAACCTAGGTTTCTACCTACTGATTGCAGAGCTATGCATATATTTCAGGAACAACTAGGGAAAGAGTTGGGCGACTATGTGAATGATCCCCATCCGGGGGCACCTTAGGATGGTATCCAAAACGCTGTGGAAACAGCAGTTATATCTGCTAGTAAGGTAAACCATAAGGTTAGGAAGAAGCCGTGGATCTCAGTAGCATCCATCGAACTGATAGACGCTCGTGAACTCAACCCACATGGTTAAAAGGGATCAAAAACCCTGCTTTTTTCGGTGTCTTCGCCAAACAGGACTCTGTTATTTGTATATTTCGAGTAAACAAACAAATCTGGTAGATCGATTTCTGTAAAGTCAAACGAAGGATTGTCTGTAAAAGAACATCCGTAACAAAGCCAAATGAAAATGAATAGAGTGAACAACCCTGGCGAATGCCATTTGAGGTTAACGATTATGACGACAGTTCACCATAGGCTCTAACTGGACCAGTAGTGTCCGAGTGGAGAGCGCGTACACTTTCAGTGTACTCCGTTGGTACAATTTTCACTGGCAGATACCACCATAAAGCATGTTGATTTACGCAGTGGAACGCGACCTTGATGTCGGTTAGTATATCTATGTTCCAGAACCTCACGTAGGACTGACCTCTGGTCTACTCATTCATTTCCAAATCTGAAACTAGCCCGAATTTCTTGGGTTCGGTTTTCATGAGCTTCTGTTAAAAGTCTGATAATTATAGAGACTAACAATGTAGCCAGACTGGGTTGTCATGTTCACAGGTGATATCTATTATTATATCAATCAATCAACCAAACCACTCGCTACAGGTTCCTAGGGGTAATCCATTGTAGCCTCAACTTTGATATCTACTGCATCTGATCTAATAATAAGTTCACTTTAAAACTATATATTGTTCTCTAAACTGTGTTATTTTAAGACTTACTCCATCTTACGCTTGATAATACTACATTTGTGTGTAGCTGTCGCTAATTAAACTGGGAAAATTCTATCAGTGATTGAATACTTTGATCTTGGTACATGTACTGACTATGAGTACGTCGAAAGAACTATCAAATCTAAATGTAATAACTACCTTCTGAATGAATTCTTACTTCCAAAACTCACTTTGTAGTAAACTCTATTGGCTTTCAACTTCATTATCTTTAAGAGTCTGCTAATATCATCTAAAATCCCACAAAGCGTTATTTTGTTTCTCGATTCGGCTATTCAAATCTTGACACATAGAGTGGAATAAAAATCATGGTCATCAACATTAAGTTATTCTTTAATACGGTCACTTCAAAACGTTTAACTAGACAGCACCAAAAAGTGTAATACAACTGAAGTAAAATAGCTGTTCGCTTCTTTTACAAACCATGCTTGTTAACATCTCAAGACATAAAATTCATAAATATTTGGGTGTACATGGGGTTCAGTCAGTCAGCTACAACGTAGAATTTCGTACGTACATCAGATTCAGTTGACATACCACATTAGCACAGAGATCGAATTGTTAGTTCGAATCCTATGGTAGTAGAGGTAACGGAGAAGATTGGGGTTCGAAAAAATTATGAAGTAAATTTAATCCAGTGAAATGAGTTTAAAAAGAGAAAGGATGTAATGTGGGGTTCGAATTGTTTTTACAAATTTTTATAATTTTGACTCTAAAATAGCTCTGGACACCACTAGACAGGGTCGTGTATTGTCACAAATGAGTAAATATGCTTATCTTTTCCATACATTGTTAAGTCTTCAATCTTGTATTTTACTAGAGAATTGTACTTTCAAACTCAAATAAATAAATATTTCTACAAAGAAAGGTCATTGGAAACTCATGCGAAATGGGATATAAATAAAATTATAATATTAGTCTAACTTTATGGAACCATTGTCTATTTAAGATAAAAGTGAGTTTGAATTACTGAAAAAATAGAACTTATTGCCACAGAGGTTAAAGGTAGCTAACCACTTTTTGAACACAGAGGTTTAGGGAAATCTGTTTATGAAAAGTTTCTGCAATAAGTAATAGCATGGTTAAATCCTTATTTCAGTAACGGTTATGAACGCCTCCAAAAAATTAATTTGATAGTATATCAGTAGTTTGTTCCATTATTCACAAGTGTACACTTTTAACAACTTTTCTGATTTTGAATGTCCAAGCATATTGTTCGACACCAAGAAGCTCACTTCGCAACTAGATAGCCCTAAACTATCCACGGTATTCTGGTTGGTGGTTGTACAAACCCACTAAGTTAAACTAAGACTGAGTTAAGTCGTCATCAGTTACAAAATATGTTCGTTGCAAACTAGTTAAGCAATGATAAGTTACGTCCGTGTTTTAAATATGGTACTCATATCTTCAGAGCAAAGTAGATAGGGTGGGGTTCACACCTGAAAGTTCAACGGCCCTTATCTTGAAACTACTGTTTCACAGCCAAAGAGTCTGTTTCCAATGCCTTAAGTGCATTTCACATTTACCATCCCAACATTATTTCATGCCTAGTATCTTCATATATTGTAAACTCTGTAAGAAAGCACATCTATATATAATTACTATCTTGATTAGCGAAGCAGTGGCTTTGCTGGCGTTCTCGTAATCTCACTTAATTTCGGGTTTTCCCTCACATACAGTTTAAATCAGTTTAAGTAACTGACTATTATCATTTGTCTGCATAAATTTGTATCCAGTGAATTAGTTGTACCACCCATATTGCGTCCAGGAAATGAGTTTTGGTATGCAATAAGAATGCTTTACTTTCAGCATATAACAACAGCAATTCTGCTTCAATAGTTCTGTATTCTACTGTTAGAATACTCGTACTTATTTTGTAATTTCTGTCCTTTTTCTGTATTCCAAGGACGTTTACATTTAACGAAGCATTTGGATAATTATTTAAAGGGGTCGCACCTTTCCTAACGCTTATCCTTTACCATAAAAATGATGGTGAGTTAACCTATTAACTGTTTCAGTCATAAATAATAGTTGCATCCTTCAGATTCTGAAGACATTGTCGAAGAGAGAGTAATAAATGAAGAATACAAGATATGGAAACGAAATACTCCGTTCTTGTACGACATGCTGATGTCACACTGCTTAGAATGGCCAAGTTTAACTGCCCAATGGTTGCCATCTGTTGAAAGGTATGTAGTTTTCTCAATTAATGTTCCATAGAACTGGGAGAGATTACTCCGTTCATCGTTTAATACTCGGGACTCACACATCTGATGAGCAAAATCATTTGTTGATCGTTACTGTTCATCTACCAAATGACCAGGCAGAATTCGATGCAAGTGCTTATGATAGTGAGCGAGGTGACTTCGGGGGGTTTTATTTTCCATCTGGGAAGTTAGAAATATCAATGAAAATAAATCACGAAGGCGAGGTTAATCGTGCTAGGTTTATGCCACAGAACTCAGACATAATAGCCACCAAAACACCAAGTGGTGATGTTTTGATATTCAATTATCCGAGACATCCACCGAAAACTCCATCGGACCGTGGTTGCCAACCTGATTTGCGTCTTAAGGTACGATGTTATTGGTACTTCTCTTTTTTCATTACCATTTTCTGATTCCACTACATAATAAAGTATATGACTAGATAAAATAGATAGAATTTGGTCAAGCGGTTCCCACCCCTCGTTATTCCAAAGAACATCCAATATCTCACCTTTTACGTAGTTTCTTATAATTCATGAGCTTGATAGTGATGATTGTTGATATTCATGACAAAATACTTTTCATCCTAAAGTTCTTTTTTTAGCATTCATCGTAAGGAAATTGTCAAATAATGTTCGGTTTTCAAGCTAATTTATAATTTGGTAATCCTTCGTCTATACAGAAATAACCATCTATATGCTACCATATCTTAGAGCTTTTGAGTTATTTAGGGAAGAAGTTCTGCTATTTTTTTTATCACAATAAGGAGTCGAGAGAATACATTCTAGCTAAAACTTGGCAAGATTTGATGATCCTTTATGTTGAGTGTATTCATACAACATCTGCCTCAAGCGTACAATTATCTAACGTCAATACAATACGCTTCTATAAATAAACGATATTTTTTATTTTATCACATCCAACCAAGATGGAAGTATTTAAAAGTTTCGAATCTGATATAGCTTACAAAGAACACAAGCAATAATCACCTGGGTCAGGTTAAACAAACATCCAGGTGAAATTATCTACTAGCCAGTTACACATTCAAAACATTGACATCAGGTGATATGTCAAGAAACATGTTATGATGGAATTCATCAAAAAGTAATATAATAGTGTAGGATTCTTTACTGAAGATTTCCTAGTTATCATGCGTATGTAGTTAGTGTTATGTAATTCCTTCAAAGGAATCTTTCCTTTGAGTCAATTCAGTCCCCATTACGAAATATTAGCTTTTGAGAAAACCATTACTAGATAGCAGTTAAGAACCTTTTACACCAAAATTTTTTAATATGTAATCACGTAAAGTTATCTGTGAGTAAATCACAAACTTGGCCTATCCCAAAACATTAACATCCTTTATTTTAGGGTCATCAAAAAGAAGGCTATGGTCTTTCATGGAATGTGTCTCTTAACGGTCATCTTCTTTCAGCATCTGATGATCAGACAATTTGTTTATGGGATGTTAATGCTGCTCCTTTAGATGGTTGTGATCTAGATGCGATGGCTATCTTTACGGGACATCATTCAGTGGTTGAGGATGTTTCGTGGCATCTTTTCCATGGACATATTTTCGGTTCAGTAGCAGATGATAACAAACTTATGGTTTGGGATACACGGAGCTCAAATCGTACTAAGCCTCAGCACCAAGTAGACGCTCATACAGCCGAAGTCAATTGTCTTGCTTTTAATCCATTTTCCGAATTTATTATTGCGACGGGAAGTGCGGACAAGGTAATTAAATATTTATCCCTGTATATTTTCACATAACCAAATAACATTCTTGATGTATTACTATTGGCTTATGAGTGAACAGTGCTATAAAACTTGTGAACACTTATTTCGATGATAGTCATCTCTAATTCAGTTAAATTAACTGTAGAGTGGTCGCTTAATGGTTAAAAATAATTGGCTCCCAGTAGAACCCCACTTCCCGTACCGTCTTCTAAATATGTCATTTTAGTTATCTAATTTCCTGTGCTGAATTGTATAACTCATTTTTGTAATGGTCTCACTAAAAGCTACTTTTTATACACATGTTGTTTCGACTAATCAAAATTGTTGTATAATGTTACTTGTCGTCGCCATCATTCTACCTAGTTTACTTTGTCGTTGATTGCTCATGACCATTGTTTAGACGTATTCAGTCTAACTGTAAGTTTTGCCTCACTCCTCATGTTCGGAGCCTGATGAGTTTCAAATCGCCTATCAATTCAGTATGTGATACAGAATCCTGATAATATCTCCTAACATTTTGTTTTAGGTCCTTAGTAGATATCATTTCTTCTTACAGCTGTTTGGCTTCAAATTCAGTTTATCATGGGCTTGCCATTGATACCACGGGAAGTAGCTGTCTAATGCCCAGATGCATAGAGAACAAATCTTGTTTGTTGTCAATGTTGACTTGGTAAGGTCAGATGGATAACTAGATTTGGATCTTTGCTGCATGTTTCGGAGTCAGCATACACAGATGACACAAATTCTAGACTCCTAACTGAAGAGTATGTTTTCCTATTATACTTAAGCTCTAAACACCGAAAGCTCCATCTTTTAGTTTAGAGAACGGTTTCAGGAGACGAGCTGAAGTCATTAACCTTGATGGCAGGTGGGGATGAAGTCATGAGAGAAGGGTTGACAGTGGAAATAGAAAGATTACTACTATTTGAAGAGATGCAATTATAAACAAGTTTATCTCGTATGTTGTTAAAGATATGAGAACAATTGTCTTTTCGCAACTGCCCTTACTGTGAAAGGATACATCTCGAGAAATCTGAAAAGGAAACTGGAATTTTAGTGGTTTTAGCGACTTAAGAGAGTAACCATTAGAGTGAATTGATGATAACACAAGGTCTTGCTGTAGATAGTTTGAGAACAGTTAAATCTGTACTTTATAGCTGATAATCAACATCTGCGGGATAAGTTGGTGTTTAGTATTTTTTGGTTGATTGTGGGAAGTCAGCATCGATACGCATACTGGTTGTTCGAGGAAAACAGCTGGCTACCATCACACCCTGATGCAGTTAGCAGTACAATTTTTTCCTACGACCTTAAGTTGTTACTAATAATCTTAAGGTTCTCCAAACAACCTGCCTCTCTATATGACCTAAATGCCTGAGCACAAGACATGTATTACGCATGCGCGATAATCGCCGGCTAGTGAAGAAATAGGTTGGAACAAAGCTAAGGAGAGACAGACAGGCATGATTATTGGACTGAGTCGCTTAATTAGATGCAAACCACTTTGTTGGTGTCATTGTGATTAGCATAACCAGGAGTTACATACTTTGGGTGATGTTCACAATGGCGCAGGCTCATTCATTGTGATATGAAGTCCTTATTTTTGCGGGGTTTTTAATTAAAGTGATTAAGTTAGTCTTATCACTAACTCATTTATTGACCTCAAAAGTTAGTTTATATTCGTCAGTTAGTTTCCAAAATAACAAACCCCCTTGTCAATTCGTCCTGTAAACCTCCTTGAAAGAAGTTGATTCTAAATCCAATTCAAATGGACTAACTGCACTTTATTTGGATAGGGAGTTGTCCTCTAAAAAAACCACCTTCGGCTTGGACAGCCGGGCAGTATCCATGACCACTCATAAATTGGATAATTGTCTGATGCATAAACATTTACGTGTTCCTATATACCAATGTTTGTGGGTTTAAACAAATAAAAATTTGGATAGTCTTTGTTTTCAGGATTATTATTTTTATTTATGACTCATCCACTGCTGAAAAGAATAAGGAATCTTGTTTCCTAAATGGTGTTTTAATCTGTTGTTTACATTATATAAGTTTGTTTTTTTGGTTATGTATCTTTCGGTTGGTCAGTCAGTGAATCACAAGTGTGCTGGTATTTATTTCACTCAATGAATCATATTCGTTTTTGTTGTTTGCTATTACATCGACTATTTCTTCAGATTTTCAGTAAAAGAATCCATTGTTCAGTTATAAAACCGAAATGTATTTTTGAGTATATGCATACCGCTGTTGTATTACTGACAGTATCCCTGATCCTGGTCCAAGTAACAACTGGCTTTAAAATATTTCAGCCATCTGAAATCAGATATCGTTTGTTTTATGTTTTATTTGAAAAATATTTAGACTGTTGCTCTTTGGGATCTGCGTAATCTTCGGCTAAAGCTACATTCATTTGAGTCTCATCGAGACGAAATATTCCAGGTAAAAATTCAGCATTCTTATAATATGCTTTTAAAGTTTGCTAATTTTCATATGAGTTTACTTATTTATTCATAACGATTATCTCACTCATATAATTAATCACATAATCTGTTTCGTTACAACTTCAAGTCTTCTTTCTATTATTCTCAACGTTGCAAATATCAATGTTTAATATATCGTAGTGTAGTAGAAAGGTTAAGTAAGACAGTGACGTGGATAATTTCGATCATTGCGTATTCATAACTGATTGCTCCACTTGAAAGGTGAATTGTTTTTTTCACTGCTTTACAAAACGTAATATTTAAGGCCGTTCTCTAAGTTATAGGCTTGCTGTCATTCTCCTTTAACCCCTGGTCAAAACAGTTCAATAAATCTGCTTGTGTTCAACATCGATAAAATATCAAATAGACAATCGTAAATAAAATCTATTAAGTTGGCTGCTTACAAGTATATTCAAATGAAAAATAGGATTTTATTACTTGGAAAAGACTATTCAATAATTTTTTGCGTTATTGTATTAAGAAATCAGGCTGTGCATAACAAAACTGTATTAGCTTCTCAACGTATTATAGAATCTTGAGGTTGTTGGCTTAGAGTCATAAAGAATAAACACATTGTTACCGATGTCAAAGTAACGGATTCCCTAATTTTGCATAAATGACCAAGATTATTAAAATTGATATTAAGCTGCTTTCACTTTCTATGTAAGTACTACTGACAGTGATTATAAACAGCTAGATTGTCTCATTTAACTCCACTCAATGTATTCAAATACAGGTCACTAATAAAAAGTTATATCTGATTTTTTAAGCTATTTGTAATTTATTTTCATCAGGTCCAATGGTCGCCACATAATGAAACTATATTGGCAAGCTCAGGGACCGATCGTCGTCTCCATGTTTGGGATTTGAGTAAAATAGGTATTGATCAAACTGCTGAAGATGCCGACGATGGACCCCCCGAGTTACTGTTCATCCATGCTGGCCATACAGCAAAGATTTCAGATTTCTCATGGAATATTAATGATCCTTGGGCTATTTGTTCTGTATCCGAGGATAATATTTTACAGATCTGGCAAATGGTAAATTCCTGATTTTTCCTATGTAGTTAGTTAAGGAAGTTAAAAACGTTTGGATCTGAATCTGACTTAAAAATATTATGTCATACTAAATGTTACTTACTTACGAAGTAAACTTTTTCATACTCTAGTTTGAGCCACACCGTTGACTTATAAGTTAATTACTTGCACCTGTTACCCCCAACGAAGAGTAGGCCTCCGACCAGTATTTTTTAACCTTTTTCCAGTTCTGCCCAGTTTTCGTTCATTCTTCTCGTGTCTGTCTCTATTTCTTGACGTAATGTGTTCCTGGCAGTCCTCTTTTCTTTTGACTTTGAGGGTTCCAAGTGAGGATTTGTCTTGTGACGCAGTTGAGTGCTTTCCACAATGTCTGTCCCATCCACTTCCAGCGCTTCTTTCTGACTTGCTCCTCTGAAATCTGGTTTGTTCTCTCTTCTGAAAATTCTGACTTTGGTGTTTCTTGACAGTTGTTTTGAGTTCCAGATGTTCTTCTATTGTAGAAATGCAGCCCTTACTTTGCCGGTCCGCGCCCTTACATCTTCATCGGAGTGACCTTTATTGTCAATGATGCTTCCCAGATATGTAAAAGCTTTTACGACCTCCAAGGCATCTCCATCAAGTGTGGTTTGGTTAGTGCATGTTGTGATGTATCGGAAAATCTTGCTGTTCCATTTATGTATGTTGAGACTTGCTGCTGCTGCTACACTGGTTAACTTTTTTTATTTGTTGTTGCGTATGCGAAAGAAGAGCTATGTCATCTGCGAAGTCCAAATCATCCAGCTATATTCCAACTGTTCACTGTACACCGGACTTCCCCCCAGATGTTGACGTCTTCAAAATCCAGGCAATCATCTTAGGGAAAGAAAAAGGGCGAGAGTAAGCAACCTTGCCTGACCACTGGTCTTCACCTCAAACGAGTCTGTCAGCTGTCCTCCGTGCACGATTTTGCAGTTCAGTCCATCACGAGAATTCTGTATGATTTTCACTATCTTATCAGGCACGCGATAGTGTCGAAGAAGCCTCCATAGTAATGCCTGTCCATGTTATCAAGTACTTTCTCGTAGTCAATGAAGTTGATATATAGTGGTGAGTTCCATTCAGTTGATTGTTCCACAATGATCTGTAATTTTGCCATTTGGTCAGCAGACGATCGATCCTTACGGAATCCAGCCCCTTGATCTCAAAGTCGGGCGTCTACGAAGTCGTTTGTTCTGTTTAACAACACCTTGTTGAAGACTTTGCCTGGTATCGAGAGAATAGTGATTCCTCTGTAGTTCTCACACTTACTGACCTCTCCTTTCTTTGGTATTTTGATGAGGTATCCTTCTTTTCAGTCTGATGGTGCTTGTTCGTCATCCCAATTCTTGTTGAAAAGTATGGAATATTTTTGCAGTTACTGTTACTGCTTTGATTGCCTCTGCTGTAATGCTGTCTGGTTCCGCTGATTTTCTGCGCTTGATTTGTCTGATGGCCATGCTAATCTCTTCAACTGGGGGTTCTTTGGATGCTGCTTCGATGTTGGGTGGGTTCAGTGGGGCTGGTCTATGCAAGAGTTTATTAAATTTCTCTACCTACCTGTTTCGCTGCTCTTCAGTGTTGATGATTACTTTGCCTTCCTTGCTTTTCACTGGTCGTTCTGGTTTATGATAGTTTCCAGCGAGCTTCTTTGTTGTATCGTACAATTGTCTCATTTTTCCTTCTCTTGCAACCTTTTCTGCCTTCATTGCTCAATCTTGCACATATTTTCGTTTGTCGGCTCTGATGCTCCTCTCCACTTGCCTGTGTGCTTCTATGTATTCAGCTTGTGCCTTGGACTTTTATTCTCTTGTTCGGTTGATGTTGACTTCTGCCTTCTTGTTCCTCCTTTATTGAATTTGTTGATCAGCAAGTGGTGATCTGAGGCTATATCAGCTCCTCTCTTGATTCTCACGTTCTCCATGATCCTTTTGAACTATTGATTGTTACAGATATGGTCGATTTGGTGAAATCCATGTAGACTTGTGCATGAGTTTGTGTGGGAATATTGTGCCACTGATGACTAGTTATTTACAGGCGAATCTCTCACCACTTTCGTTCGTTTCTCCAAGACCATGATGTCCTCATATCCAGTGTTCCCTTGCCAACCTTGGCATTTATGTCTCGCATCAGAATGGTCAAATCCTTTGATGAGCATCTATCGACGATTGACTGCAGTCTTTCGTAGAATTGATCTTTAACGTCTTCATTGTAATCGTTGATAGGTGAATATCGTCGGGTGACGTTCATAGTAATGTCCTCTTTCTTTGTTTTGAAGGATGCCTTGATGATCCTGGGTCCATGAGATTCCCATCCTATCCGTTCCTTTTGTGCTTGTTTAGACAGCATCAGTGCAACTCCTTGTGTGTGAGGCGTTTTTCTCTTCATGTGTGGAGTATAATAACAGCTCTCCTGAAGCTAGTCTCACTTGTCCTACCTGCGTCCAGTGCGTTTCATTGATTCCAAACACCTCCAGGTTGTATCTTTTCATCTCTACAGCAACTTGGAATAGTCTTTCAGTCTCTCGCAATGTTCGGACACTCCATGTACCTGAAAGAATGTTTGTGAGAAGGAGCATCGGCCTCGTGACTTCTGAGGGAACTCAGCTTTCATCATGATACGTCATAACTCTTATGAACGGAAACCTTCTAACTACCAGGGCAGAGTTAAAATGGTTTGAATTGATTTTTATGGTTAGCGTATTTTAGCGGCTTAGTATTCTACAGGATGGGGTTGGCGACCTCATCCACAACCCATCTCCTTTATCCGGGCTTGGGGCCGACAGTAGCCATAGAGGGGTTTCACGCAGTGTTGTATGACTTAAAATGGAAATGGAAAATGATTCGAACTTCCATTTTACTGGTTAGAGACCGAGTTTTTCAATCATTAGTCCACCACTATTATACGCCGGTCAAATCTATTTCGTATGACATTTTGAAGTAATGTTTTACAGTTTTTTCATGAGGTAATGTTGCTTATCTCCACTCCATTGCTCACTGTACAACAACAATAAATCCATTAAAAAATCATTCTTAAATCCTTAGAGATTTTGTGTTCTCATTATTGTTAGGCAATTACAGCGTTTTTAGATTACTAGGTGTTTGGTATATCCATTATCCGAACTTAGTATTGACCTGTGGTGTAACACAATTAATCTTATTTTCGTTCATTTGAAAACCTTATACGTTTTTACGGAAATGGAAATATAGTAAAAGAATTTTAGGCCAGTCACATAAGATGGAGAGAAAAAGACTGATCATTTTGTACAGAAAAATGTAATTTTAGTTTAATTTATACCGGATTTGATATTTAAAATTTTGATTTGAAATTTTTGACTGAATGCTACTCAGTCTTCGTTAGCAGCCTGCGCAAAACACCTCGATATGACCATTATGTCACAAGTTTCTATAGAATATACGGAATGTGGCTAGAGATGGGACCTAGGGTTCTCGTTACGTCTTATTTTGGACTTGTCAGCTGGATGTACATGAATCCCAGAAGTATAGCTCAGTAACCGTTCAAAACTCAGTCAAAATATAATCCAGGACGTTACAAATTACATCAAAAATTCATACCCGTTTCGCAAGTGAGTGACTACGTAAACTCATTAGCTAAGTGGATAGCGTAACGGCGTTTAAAGCGAAAGATCCTTACTTCAAGACCCGGAACGAACATCAACTCGTCCAGATAGTTTAATCTGACGAGTTTTAAATTGGACATAACGCTTCTTTCGGATTACACTACTTGCCGAATCCCGTCTTTTCTATGTAAAATACATTTGTTTAGCTATATTTCTCATATTTTAATGTTGGTCATTTCCGTTGTTTTTCAAAAATTTGATTCAATTTTAGGCTGAAAATATATATAATGACGATGAAATAGAGATGGGAAATCCTGAACTTGAACAGCATTCTTAGTTCGCTATTGTTAACCCATTTTCCGTTTTATGTTTTCGCATATTTCCTGTATGTTCTGTTTATGTTGTGTATATAAGATGCAGTAAGAAATAAATATCAAGTTTTGTGTTTTATTCACACTATTGGTCTTCTGCTTATTCGTCTGTTGAATAAATCGAGAACAGCTAAAGGTGGAGGTTTGAGTGAAACTAATCGTAGATTCGACTCATTTACTGAAACGCGATTCCACAATCTAATATCCTCGTGACGAGCTATAAAGAACTAGTTGATTTCCTTACGTTTGCATTTTTTTGATGTCACAAAAATGCCTCACGTATTCGGTAGCGGCAGTGGGGTCAACCGAATCTCCAAACAACAGGAAGACCTATATTAAGCCCAATAAACACTATTTGTAACCCGTCTTGGTCATATTTTGGTTCCTTCATTACCCTGTTACTAAAAATGTAAACAGAAGACAATATGAACAGATAGACTATTGTCAGCCATAGGAACAAATTCTCTGCTTCAAATCCCATTTAATACTGTAATCAGCATCATCCGCTACTACAATTCTTTTTTATGGTTAAAGTGTCAGAATATGGATTCCAAACATTAATTCGCTTATTTTCAAGGTTTAGCTGTCTTGCGGGTTTCAGACCTCTTCAAAAAGTTGGGCGCCTTGATATAGTGATGATGACTGGTGACTTGAATGCTCAAGTAGGTAGACTGCGTGAAAATGAAAGACACGTGGGTGGATCTTATGGTGTCACGGCTCAGAGAACAGATAATGGCGACCGCCTGTTGCAACTATGCTCAGATAACCGTCTATTTCTAGCAAACTCTAACTTTGGGCATAAGGAATAGCATCTTTTGACCCGGAGACCTCCAGAGTTCTCTCAACGCTAGACCCAACTAGATCACATGGCCAACAGCCACCGATGGAGAGGTTTGATAGAGGACTGTCGCTCGTTCTGGTGCACATATATAGATTTAGATCATACTATAGAGCGAGATAGGCAGTGATGTAAGTAATGCCTACCCTGAGGCAGCTTGGAATGATATCCAAAGTCTGTGGGAACAGAAATGATACATGCTAGTAAGGTAAACCATCAAGCTAGAAAGAGGCCGTGGTTTCCAGTAGATCGAAAACGTATCCCGTCTGACTGTGAACATGACGAAGAGCGAAGCCAGCTTAAGCCCACGCAATAATCCAGAGCAGTGGTGGGTAGCGAAAGCGAGAGAGATGAAAAGGCAGTGGCTATAGGTAATAGTAGACAACTACTCAGACTTATCGAGGAAACCGGTATTCGGGATCCGAATGCAAGTGAGACTATTTCGGGAAAGCATGGTCTTATGATTCATTCTCAATCCGAAAGATTGGGTCGACGGGCACAGCGCTTTAGGAGTAAGCTCAATTAGCCTTCGGCAACATTTCGGTTGCGCACGATCACCAGTTAACCTGAAAGGCAAATCGACGTAAGTGTAAGACCCATTTTTGAAGGCTTTGTTTGTGAAAATCCCTACATATATACATTTGTAATTTTTCCTTATTGATTCCTTCAGTTGTACATTTCGTTAGTCTGTTCGATTCTATCTGAGATGGTGATATTTGTATTTTTGTCATAGTTTCTATTTCTTTTGCCTTGACTGAGTTTCTATGTTTCTTTCTGAACTGCATTTAGGTTATTTTAGCTGATTCTTTGTCTTGACGGAAGCTATCTCGATCTGTTCCTCCTTTGATTGTATTTCTTTCATTGACTGGAATTGTGCACTTTGATTGCGAACTGAAGCACTCTTCCAGAATAGGAAACACTGTGTTATAAAGCAATCAAATATTATCTGTCGAACGAATCTGATCTATCCTGGAGTGGTAGAATATAATTTATTTGTTGCTGTTTGTTTGAATAATCGAATAATTATTGGTGGATGTTACGCTCATCTCTGGGTATGCTTAAACTATTACGAGCTCATCTTAGTCGAATAACGAGAACAAAACAATGAACCAGCGTCCAGGTAGGCTACTGTGATCCGTTGACCAAATTGAATCCGCAAGAAGTCTTGATATAGTGTAGAAATTGTATTCTACAAACACCCAGCCAGCACACAATGAGTCCCAGCACTCCAATTGCATTTCTTTATACTCTATAACGACGTCATTAGGATAGTCAAAAAATAGCGCACTAAATTGACACAGTAACCAATCACAGCCAAGGATTTTCCTGGTGGGAAATGTAATTTAGGGTCAAATGATGGGTCCATGAAATAAGTCCACAATGAAGATATTTATCAAGCGAGTTCTGGGGATCTAACATCCCCAAAAACGGAATAGCTTAGTGGTAATATTGTTTAGATAATGATGTATATTTATATTTATGGTGAATATTAGAACCGTTATATACGCAAATTACTTGTTTTGATTTCAAATGGTCAAGACGCGTATCTAAACTACCTTGCCAGTTATTCCTCAGTCCAAACCTCAGTTTAGATACTACAATAAGTCCCCCGCCTCTTTATGAAGTTGAGGAAGCTATTGGCACAGTAGAGCAGCAGGCACTGATAGACTGGTCTCTGAGATTTTAAAGGATTGAGGTCCAGTTTGATTGAGTGAGATCTTAGAATCTGGGAACTGGACTTAAACCCATCTGACTAGTCAAAATCGCTGATTGTCCCAATCGACAAGAAAGGACAAAATTCCTTTTTTGATAATCACAAAGAAATCAGTTTAACTAATATAGTATCAAACATATTGACCTCAATACTACTCCTTAGCCTAGCTAGAGCTTGAGGAGAGCAGACTCGAGAAAAGCAGGCTGGTTTCAAACCTGGACGTGATTGCATAGACAACATATTCACACTAGGTCAGGTCCTGGAATATACACACACATTCAAATGTGCAAGAACAGTAGTGTTTCTCGATCTTAAGGTAGCATTCGACTCTGTCGATCTTGAAGTTCTGTGGTAGTGTCTGTCATTAAAAAGTATTCCAAAGAAATACATCAGCCTCACACAGGCTCTCTACTCGAATACTACTGGTCGAATCAGAGCTTATGGCAACCTGTCATCGGAATCCTTTACTTCAAGTGGTGTCCGTCAGCACTTTCCAATTCCTCCACTACAATTCCTACGGAAACGCACGAAATTGGTACTACAACGCATGAGTGACAACGGTTTTCGGTGATGCCCAGAGAAATGTCAGTTTTTGTTGCAGTCGGTAAAGTATTTGAGATTCGTCTTTGATGACGATGGCCGCAGACCGGATTCTGAGACCATCCGAGCTATGAAACTGATGTCTAGTCTCACCATTGTCTCGGCACTACGCTCCTTCGTGGGACTTCTAAGCTATTATTCAGTGTTCGTTCCTTTGATGCATGATATTCGCGCTCCATTTAATTTAACTGCAGAAGAACAGCACTTGGCACTGGACCAAAGTATATGAAGCGGCGTTTTGTAAAATCTGGTCCTTAATTATGTCGAAATCGTTGTTAACGCTCTATGATCCATCCGTGCTGATCAACGCAGCGGCTGGCGCGTAGGTGTTGTTATTACAGGCACCTCAGAAAAGGCTATTATACATGCATCTCTCACACTAACCCCAGCAGAAAATAGATACAGCCAGATAGAGAAGGAGGCTCTTGGCTTGTGTTTGCTGTCTGCTGTGTCCCCAAGTGTGTGTTCGGTCACAGATTTACGCTCCTCACAGATCATAAGCTTCTGCTCGCAGTATCCGGGTAAAAATCTGGCATTCCAGGCCATTCTGCAAATCATCTTCAGCAATGAGCCTTGGTACTTTTGGGGTTTGATTTCAAAATCCGATACCGATGCACTTAACGGTTTGGTCAGGCAGATTCTTTATCACGACTCATCGATGTTTGGAGAAAAATTCGTTGTGCCAGAATCTCTTCGAGCCAATTCGTTGAGACGGTTCCACTTTGGTCATATGGGAGTTAGACAAATGAAATCCGTAGCCAGGTGTTACGCATACTGACCCCTAATGGATCAACATATCACGTCAGCAAGTGGCAAAGGTTTCATGGCCACAACCTCATCATTCTTGGTTCAGGATACACGTTGGCTTCACTGGTCCAATCAATGGAACTATGTATTTAGTTGTGGTAGACACGTTCTCAGAATGGACAGAAATCAACCCCGTAATGCCGCCCACGATAACTAAAACAATACAGCTCCTCACCAAAATTTTGTTTCGAAATGGCATACCAGATTTTATTGTACCTGACAACGGTTCGCAATTTACTTATAGCCAATTACATGCTTCCTGACAACGGCTAGCTATCAAGCACTTACGCTCGCCACCATACACCCGCAATCGAATGGGCAAGAAAAAGGTTTGTGGACACGTTTAAAAGAGCATTGGTTAAGTCAAAAGGGGAAGAACGCCACCGGACGCGTTACAAATTATCTTGTACGTTTGTCTAACAACACCAAATGAGACGTTACCGGACCCAAAGTCCCCAGAAGCAATCCTGATAGGAATAATACTGAAAACGATCCAAAGCCTGATGCATCCGACTGATGCACCAACACCAGTAAAGATAAAGTTTGGAAAGCTATTCATGTACGAAGTGGGATGTGACTACAGACCAACCCGTTGTCCTTCGGCAGAAAGGCGAGTGGTCAGAAGAGTTGGCCGTGTAATTTACGAAGTAGGGGTCGGAGACGTTAGGTGGTCACGCCATCGGAATCGGATACGTAAACGGCTATCCTCAGACGCCTATCAAGTGAAGTAAATCTTCCCCTTTACATCCTACTAGACACCTTCAGCTTACCGGCGGCCCGACCACGAGAAGAAACTCAACAACAAGCTGAACTTCGTTCCAGGAGGTATCCTCTCCGACAAGGGCGAACAACAGTCAGTATGCAAGTTAAAACCATGAAGGTAAGATATTAAAAAGGGAGGTTGGTTAGGGAAGTTCGATCTTCAAAACTCAATTTGAAAAAGGGCCCATTTTGTAATTTTATTCTGAAATTTCGAATTTTATTTACGTCAATATAAAGTAGAGGAGTATTGGAGACTTTAGATCCCCAGAACTCACTAAGAAAAGGTCCTAACTTGAATTTTTCGTGTTTTCACATAAAAGCTGCTTAGTTGACATTCAGCTTACATTTCCCACCAGAAAAAT